ATCTAACAATAATTTAGAGCATCAAGATAGAGTCAATGGGACTTTCATTAATTCACTAGAAACTATGATAGGTGCAGTAATTTTTAACATCTTAAACTAGCGAAGATTGATTTATCTGATGAAGTAAAGAAGAGAATCAAAGTTAAGATGCACTGTCTCTTTCTCCTTCTTATATTCATGTCTATAATTAAAGAAGAAATATTCTCCATATAACGGTGATTTTAACAACCGTCAAGGGTCGTCATAGATCTCTCTAGTTTCTGCAGTAGTAGCTAGTTTTGTGATACAATCATCAGAAAGCTGCCATTTTACATGCCGTTAAAGACAGGAATGGATCCAATTATTTGCGTGGGCGCAATCTGCGCATGCGCAGTACTGACTAAATTGTACTTCAATTTATAATGTTCATAACTCAAACAAAAATGTAAAAAAAAAACAGTTCAAACATGAATAAATGCTTGTTTAGCCACACATTTGATTTCAGGTTACTCTGTTGAGTCTACAAGGAATAAGCAATATTAATAATAAATGTAAAAAGTACATGTACATGTACTTTGCATTAATGTTTACAAAGAACTTTGTAGCCTATTTTCATCTCTAAAAATAATTTGACAGGAATGTCATTCTACAGATAACGAAAACAAATTTTATACAGCAATAATAGTTTTTACTGACCTGGAAATATACTGGTGTCACATTAAGTAGTGCCAAGGGAAATAAAGAGTTGATAATATATCTAGTCTTGGGGAAATGTTATCTGTTTAACAGAGATAAGAAGTTTAAAATAAACCTTTCATTGCAAATGCCATACACATGGAGCTAGATATTTCTGTGGCCTAAAATTTCTGCTAATTATGCAGATTTCAAAAACTGTGAAAATTTAATCCTTTAAAATCAGTACACATTGAAAGGCATGGTGATTTTGCTAAAATAAAATCTGCAAAATTCACAGAAATTTTGGGCGATAGTAATTTCTAGCTACAATTAAAGAAATTTCTAGGTACAATTCTAAACATTAGTAGCATAATAAAATAAATCATTTCATGAATAATTATTCTATTAAGTACCAGCATCTCCAAATATAGCATCCAGAGTTTCGTCTACCACCATGAACAATACAGATAGCTTTTCGTGACATTCTAATTATCATAAAAATAGCATACATGTAAATTCAAAACTACAAAACTAACAGCTTTAATAGTCAGAAGTACTGTAAAAGTGGAATATGTCATTGCTTGCATTATTTAATGCATGAATAAAAAATTTACGAATTTAAAAACTATACTGACTTAAAAACTAATTATAG